TTGCTTTTCATCCACCCTCTTTTTAAAAGCAAGCAAATCAACAAAATTTGCTCTCAGTCCTTGAGGTTTATATTATTTGCCAGTATTGTTATTTACTACTCTCCCACTTATTCCCCCTAAATTATTGAAGATAACACAGCTGCTATTGTGTATTCCAAATTCTGCCATAATTCTGGGTGGTGTAATAACAACATAAATGTCCATTCAATGCTCTGACTTCTGAAAATTTTTTTACCTCGTTTCATCACCAGACATACCCCTCCACTGCCACACATTATCATGATTACAAACCTTGCATTTTGTCATCACCCATAACTGCTCTAGTTTCAAAATTGCTCCTTCAAGTATACCACCCCTTAACCACGATCTCTAATCTCATCTTCCAGTTTGTTTAACTATATCCATTTTGATTATTGTTTGAACTCAACAGATCATCCAGTCCTTTGACCCCTCTTCTCTACTCCAACCTATCACTCTCTCTTCTTTTTCTCTATATCCAACTTAAATTGCATTGGAATCACACTCTTGTTAATATCCCAAACTTCCTTGTTTTTATAACTTTTCCTTTTACCCTCTATAACATTTCAGTCCTGTATGAAGTCAACATCTTCCTGAATATCTGCATGCTAGTAGTCTAATTGTTCTGGACCAAATGCTTGTGTTCCATTCATATATTGAGGCTTTAACCCTCACTGTGATGTTATTTGGAAATGGAACCTTTGGGAGATGATTAGGATTAGATGACATCATGAGAGTAGTCCCTAATAATGGGATTAGTGACCTTCTAAGAGGTACCAGAAAGTTTGTTCTCTCTCTTCACCTCCTCCCTACCTTATCCTCTGCACACAAAGAAGAGATCATGCAAGTACACAGGGAGATGGTGGCCACCTACAAGCCAAAAGAGAGTCCTCACCAGAAACCAAATCAGCTGGCACCTTGGTCTTGGACGTCCCACCCTGTAGAACTGTGAAAAAATAAATCTCTATTGTTTAAGCTACCCAGAATATGATTTTTTAAAATGGTACCCTGAGCTAAGACACTGACAATGTCAAAAAAAGTCACACAGTAGAGTGGATGTGTCTCTTAAATTAATCATTATCAATCTTAAATAGTTTCTCAAATATTGACCAGGAGTCCTAAATTTTATTGGTCAACTTATTCTACTGCTCACTATTTAAAGTGACTATTTAAAACTTTAAAGAAGGACTATTTAAAACTTTCAGCTTGTGACATTGTCTTTTATTTTCTAGCTAAAGAAGAAGCTATCAGATGGGAACATCACAATTTTCCAATAATAAAAAATCAAAACTACTTACATCTGCACCTATACTCCCAGCATTCTCTCTGATTGCAATTCAGAATTGGTACTTTGAACCAAAGCTCACACCATCCATCTGTGCCTTTGCTTTTCTGAATTCTCACTTCTGATCATTTCTCTTTCTCTCTTGCTTTTTAAACCTTTCCCTCCCAATGGATTCATTCCACCAGTTATAAAATGTGATCAAGTCACTTCCATGAAAAATAACAATACAATAGGGATAAAATACTAAAATCCCTCTACTCAACTTTCCCCAATGCCATTCCCTCTTTTTTCTCCTCATTCACATCTTTTTAAGAGCTATGTGATTCTTACTTGCCACTGATGTTTTACTGGCTCCTATTTAGCTTCCACCTTCATTGTTGTACTGAAACAGCGCTTATTGATCCATGTATATAAAGGCAATTAACTTTTTGTCCATGATATTGAGTTTCAAGTAAGTTTTCTCAGCTTGTCATTTTACTTTAGCTTTTGTTTATGGAGAAATTTATTTTGTGAATTAAAAAAAAATTTGCGTCTTTAGTTTTATCAATTTTTCTGTATGACTGCTGGGTTTGGGCATACTTAGAAAGTTCATTTCTTTAACAGTAAACAATGGTTTGATAATATCTATGGTTTATAGCATTTTAGTTTTGAGGACATTTTATGTTATAGTTGTAATTTTGTCTTTTCTGATAAGGAGAAAGGGGAGGTTGGGAAAACGGTAAATGAATATGGTCTGCCCCATTCAGTTCTACAGAATTCTTATAGGTTAAATTTGGCATCTACAGTTTTCATTACATCTCTGAATGATTCTTTTTACATCTCTGAATAAGCTATGTACATGTGCCGTGCTTAGATAAATAAAATGAAGACTTGCAACAGATTCCAAAAGAAGTTCAAAAAGTAGTATGAAAACTCATGTGGTTCTATAGTAGTAGTATACTTTGTACTGAATATAATTGATTAAGTATCTCCAGAATAGTAATCTAGAAAGAGAATATGACCCAGGACATATTGCTCAGGATAATTAAGAAATAAGCTTTATCAAATAAGGCCCCCATGTGGCAGTTTAATGACACATTATATATACAAAAAAAAAAAAAAAAAAAAAAAGCTCGTTTTAAGGAGAAATCTTGTTCAGCAAGTACCAATGTCAACTGACTCCCCCTAAAAGTAGATTTGAAAAATAACATTATTGCCTAATCACCTAAGATGTTGTTTTACCAAGTCTTCAGTCATAAATTCGTATTACCAATAACATTAATATGTACTTAAGGCTAGAATAATGACACCTCACTTTTCTCTACTTTTTAAAAGTTTTTTTGTTTTTAATTGATTTTTAGAGAGAGAGAGAAAGGGAGGGAGAAGAAGATGGAAACCTAGATGTGAGAGCAACATTGATCTGCTCCAGGGAATGTGCCCTGACTAGAAATCAAACCAGCAACCTTTCAGTGCACAGCACTATGCCCAACCAACTGAGACACACGGGCCAGGGCCTCACTTTTCTCTATTTGACATGATCATTTGGTTTTGCCTTCTTGGTGTTTTAGATGTGTGTTCTCTGCCTCCCCCAGGACAAACCCTGGGCGTCTAGGAATTTTTTTGATAACTGATGGCTTTCCACTATTCTCCTTATGTAGTTTTAATCTGTTTAAACAATTTCAGTTTAAATAGTATTTGTCATTGCCAGTGTAAATATTTTGCTGAGATTGCCCACATAGCCAATGCATCTATTTCCTGATGGGTACTGAATTCAAACTTTTTGGGGTAGCAAGAAGAGACAAGCTAAGTTAGAGCACCTAGGAGGATAATCTTCCTTACAAGTTTCTATGTCACTATAGAGCAGACAAGAAATATTTGGAAACAAGTGCACTAACCTAGAAAACTCTATAGCTTTTGTTGGTGAAAGATAAAATTTAAAGTCTGTCTAAATTATTTTCTTATAATTAATGTGTAAATATTTATTGTACTAAATTACTTAAGACAAATATCTTTCCCTGTACAAAGTTTTATTCTATTGTGATTAGATTTAGTAGCTGAAAGGGCTCAGTCTTTGTCCTGATGATTTTTAAATAGAGATTAAAAAATTTTTACAATCTCAGAAATTAGTCGTCTACAGTGTCATTATACAAAATCATGTATTTTAAAAGCATTTAACATAGAGTCTCTACCTCTTGAAGTATTTTGTATAATATACACGAAATACGGAGATATCTATAATAAACTATATATCCTATAACATTCTTTGACAGAAACTGCAAAACCAGAGGCGGAAGATATATGGATTTTGGAGCCACCAAAACCAAAATTTCAGTAAAATAAGGCCAACTGTGTCTTCAAGTTAAACTTGATAAATATTTATTGAGAACCTGTTCTATACTCGGTGCCCTACTAGGTAGGCCCACAGTGATATTCAAAGGGAGGTGAACGAGCCGATTTAGGTGGGTGCCAGAGAACTCAGGGCCGAAGCTAGGATCTCCCCGCTGGTAAGACTGGGATGGTGGAGACACTCTGGAAAAGTGGGCACTAGACTCCGAACACAAGTGAGGAGTGCAGCACTCCCAGCCTCTCTCAGATAGCACCCCAGGGAAGGCCAAAGTGTCCCTTGGCTCAACACTCCACTCCAGGGTCACTGCCTAGGGCGGCAGAAGGGCGCAGGGAGAAGACTACACACTCGCACTGCGCACGTTCTCACGTGGTCTGGCAGTGAGTCTCCGGCTTCAGGCAGTGCTTGGAGAATAGGGTAGGAGCGACGTGGCTTGGAGGGTCAAGAATCTCACCACCAGAAGCCCCAAGAGGAATATTTTACTAGCAATTCCCCTCCTTTGGGCTATTTGTCGCTGTTTATCCGTCCATGGGAGAGCATTAGGACAAAAGAACCCCACTCTCTTCCTGGGAGTCAAGCTTGCGGTCGGGTGCAACACCCGGCGCCGCTGCCTTTCTGGAGCCATAGCTACGGATGCCACAGAATTTGGGAGTCTGCTTCCAGGACAGTGATAGGTCGTTTAAAGCTAGAGATGCCAGCCATAAAGCTGGACTCCAGGTAAGGGTCCATAATCAGCTCGGGTCTCTCCAGGGCCGCGCATCCCACAATACCCGCGCAAACAGCCGCACTGCTCCCCAGCGTGCCGACTGTCAGCACAGAGCCGACACCGAGCCCGAGCCCGGAGTCTTGACAGCGGCCCACGCGCCGGGGCGGAGCTCGAGTACGTAGCATTTAAGTTCTGGCGGCCGGTCCCGCCCCCTGAGTCCCACGATTGGCTCCAGGGTGGCGTTGGACAGATAGCTGCAGGGAGGGCGGGGCTGCGCGCGCGGAGTCCGCGGTCCTACCGCCGCGTCCAGGGCCAGGGAATTAGTGACAGCGGAGGGCGGGTGCTTGGGCGTGTGGGGTTGGCGGGCACGTGCGCGCGCCGGCAGCCGAGGTCCCGCGGGAAGTAGCGGAGCTCCCGAATCCGAGCAGCACGCGAAGCAGGCGGTCGGCGGCGCGCGCGAGGGCGAGGGGGTGGTGCGTGCGTGTGTGAGCGTGAGTGTGTGTGTGTGTTTAGCTCGGGTGCGAAGCTCCACTCGTCAGTCCCAGGTGCGAGTCCCCCGCGGTCTTCCACATCCTTTCTCCGTCCCTGCAACCCCACGTCGCGTACAGGTGTGGGGGTAGGGCGGGCGGGGTCGCACGAGACAAAAGGGGCGCGGGGGTCAGTCTGCCATGGCTTCCCGGAGCCTGGCGGGCCTGAGCGGGGGCCTGAGCGGGAGCCGCGGCGGGGGCGGCGGCGGCGGCGGCGGCAGCAAGAAGAGCCTGAGCGCCCGCAATGCTGCAGTGGAGAGGAGGAACCTGATCACCGTGTGCAGGTACGGCGGACCGGTCTCTCGGGGTGAAGGGAGGGGGCCGTCGGCGCCGCTGGCAGAGGGCTTTGGGCGAGCGCGAGAGCCCCTTGGGGTCACGAGACACCCGGCTGTAGCGCTGCGCCCCAGCCTCTGCCGCGCCGGGTGTGTCCGCGGGCCCGAGCGTCCCCAGAGGGGCGGGGGTCTGGGCACTGCTGAGGCCCCGGACTTTCAGTCAGTTCCAGTGCTGGAGGCAGCCGAGGGTATGGCTTGGGGCGGGGCTGGAGAAGGATGTGTTTTGAATGTACAACCTAGAGTCAAGAGTAAGAGGAGGGCAAGGGGAAGAGCTCTCATTTAGTGCGTGTGTATCCGTCAGCCAGCTTTTGGTAAAGTCGTCGTTACTGTGATGATTGTTGACTGTGTTGCCTCAAAATCAGTGTGCATTATTTTTCTTTTGGCTTGTTTACACATATATTCAGTCTTTTTATGCCGCAGATATTGAGTGCCTACTACAAGCCAGCGTGTGTGTGTGTGTGTGTGTGTGTGTGTGTCCTCTCCACTTTAAATTGCATGCTAATGCTGTTTATCATCTGCAGTTATCAAGTGTGGGACTGTGGAGGATACCTAGTCTATGGTTCAGTGGTTTATTCCAAGGTCCGCCTTTCCTTAAATGTTTTCCAATTATAAATGTAGTATTCCTTTACAAAATATAGAAACATAAAAGGAATAATTACTATCTATAAATGGAATTATTATCTATAAAAGGAATAATTATTGTCTATAATAACTGATTTTTAATATGCTGGTATATGTTTTCTTATTTCTGAGTATTATAAAAATTTGAAGTCCTAGGCATCCATTTCTTAGGAATTTCCTTGAACAATTAAGTTGTTTTAAATTTACTGTACTTTGTTCAGTCAAACTCCTCAGCATCAGCCATTGATAATCCTCTAAGAATCAAAGCATGATGAAACCTTTTCCTCCTTTGCAGTTTATATCTGTATTTTTTTTTCTTTATGCATCTTAAGCATAATACAGATATTTATACCAGGATGTATATTCAATAACTTTAAGTGACTTTTTGTTTTTTAACTAGGACTATTACCAATGTAATTGCAGAAAGACCTGCCTCACTGACCATTATGTCACTGAGGTTGTAAGTAGAAAAGTTATATGTAATCTTTTTTATTTACCATTTGTGCTGTCTAGTATGCAACCTTTTGAAGATGATAGGCTGTATTAAATTTTTTTTTCACTTAGGAAAATATTTTTTGAGTCAGGTAAATAGAACAATTTTCTTATCTTTATTTTATCGATATTAAAAATCATTAGTTTTTTTAAAAAGAGGATGGTCTCAAGCAGGCTGCAACATACGCAGTGTTTCTTGGGGTAATGTACTTTGTAAAAGCTTCACCAGAGTTAAACTTCACAGGGCAGCAACCTTGTCTGTTTTTTGCTGAATCTTTTAAAAAAAATTCTTCCTACTACAGCATCTGACATTCAGTAAATATTTATTGAATGAATAAATTCAGTGGTTGGTACTATTCCTTTTGCTTCTCCATTTTTGTCATGACTGGTTTTAGGTCACTTAATGTTCATTTGCTCCCTCTTCAGAGGCAGTTTAGAAGAAAGGGACTTGTATGTCAATCTTATTTAAATTACATTTTGAATTATGTTTAAGAAATTTCAGTCAGTTCTCACTGATTTGTGTGGACAGTTTTCTGGACTAGCTGTATTTTTATTTTCATTATTTTCTACTATGAAATGAATATAGTTGCTGACTTTAGTTACAATTTACACATAATTTTAGTATTGTAGCTAAAATAAATTTTAATATCTGGCTTAGGTTTCATCCTTTGTATTTATATATGTGAATATTATTACTAAGGCTGTTCTTTATGTCCAGACAGTTGATGGTGTATATAAATTATCATCCATGTCTGGTAATGATATCTGTTTTGATAGACTTTGTCTAAAAGGCTTTTACTTTTTGGGAAAAGTCACTGTAGGCCATTTGGCTGTTTTAAGTAGCCCCACTTGAAATTCAGCAAAATGAACAAATCAATATTTATGCGTTTCTATCGCTTTTCTCTGCCTTTCAGAGTTACCAAACTCTGAGTATCTCATCTGTCTCCCATAGTGAGTTTATTTTATTTATTTTTTATCCTCACCCGAGGACATTTTTGCATTTATCTTAAGGTAGAGCGGGAGGGAGAGTGGGAGGAAGAGAGAGAGAAACATTGATGTGAAAGAGACCCATCGAGTGGTTGCCATCCACACGACCTCAACCAGGACTGGGGACAAACTGCAACCAAGGTATGTGCCCTTAGTGGGAACTGAACTTGGGACTCTCTGGTCCAGGGGCTGGCGCTCTAACCACTGAGAAAAACTGGCCAGGGCATGAGTTTATTTATTTATTTATTTATTTTATCCTCACCCGAGGACATTTTTCCATTTTTTGTACAGACAGAGTGGGAGGGAGAGAGAGGAAGAGAGAGAGAGAGAAACATCGATGTGAAAGGACACATCGAGTGGCTGCCACCCGCAGGACCAACCAGGGCCGGGGACAAACTGCAACCAAGGTACATGCCCTTAGCGGGAACCGAGCCCGGGTTTCTCCGGACCGCAGGTGGGCACTCTAACCGCTGAGCCAAACCGGCCAGGGCGCATGAGTTTATTTTTTAATTTTTATATATCAAATCAGAGGTGGTTTGATATTTACATTGGGAAGTTGGTTTAGTGGAAATACAATTGAATTCTAAGTTTACTTTTCTTTAAATAATTTTATATCCTTTAACAAGCCATGCAACCTTCCCCATTTTCCAGTTTTCTCATCTCTAAAATAACCTTGGAATAGATCATTGCTAACCTTCAATGACAGCCCTAAAACTGATAATAAATAGTCTTCTAGCAAAATGTGTTCATACTTGGTTTTGAATTTTTCTAAATGAGCAAGGTAATGGTAGACATATGTTTAATGGTAGATAGATGAGGCATGTGCATTTTTTGTCTGTAAACAAAAGCATTCATTTTGTAATTCTCTAATGATGTTCTGGAAACATTGAACAGTTTACAAAACTAATGCAAAATAAAACAACCCCCTTCACCCACACTATCATTCTAGTATCTATTAATACTTACACAGTAAATGCTTCTCCTTATTCCTTAAACAATTTAGGCATACTCTCAATTTAAGTTTAAACCTCTACTATATAACCACATAGTTTTTTAGGTTTAAAAACATCTTATATAAGAACAATATTACTAGAGCCTCCTTTCCCTTTCTACCAAGGACTGAGGACTGTGTTTCCCCTCCTGGGGCTGGAGCTGAAACACTGACTTTCCTGGAGTAGACCCGACTGGAGCAGAGCTGTCTAGCTGGGAAGGGACCTCACTCCAGGGCTTCTTTGCTCCAGAGCCTCATCATAGAGCTGTTCCACAGCCAAGCTGTTCTCACAGACCTGTTGTATCACATTTGAGCTGTTTGCACTGAACAAAGTTTTCTTCTTCACTGCACTCCAAATTGGGGATTCCTGTTGGTGATGAACTGGTACCAATAACCATTGATTGATAGTTCTAATAGTATTTTGGTGAAACTTTAGGGTTCACTCTAGTAGTGTCATGGGATATGCAAATAATGCATTTTACTCCTTCCTTTCCAACTTGGATGCCTTTTATTTCTTGTCTGATTTTTGTGGCTAGTGAAGGACCACTTGAAGTGGCTGCAGCCTGTTACCCCCAGGTGCTGCTGGGGACACCGTGGGCCAGGAGGACCTCCAAGGTGTGAGCAGGGTCTGGTGGTTAGAACCATGAGAGGCAGGTGGGCCCTGGGTTGTGGGGGCAGAAGCTGGGGGGCTGGCGTGAGGGCTGTGGGTCCTGCTGTCCAGAGGCCCAGCCACTACAGCACCCCCATCAAGTGAGCTATACCTAGAGTATTTCATTTTGGGAGACACTAATGTAAATGGCATGTGTTTTTCATTTCAAATTCCACTTGTTCATTGCTGGTATATAGGAAAGGGGAGGGGAAGCAATATTGCTATATTTTGAACTTTGGAATTGGGTTATTTGGTTAGGTAGGGTAGTGGAATTGGATGGAATTGAATTGGGTTGAATTTTGGTTCATTGTGATTGTGTATGTAATTATTTCATGAGGTTTTTTTAAGTGAAAATTTATATATTGTAGACTAAAAATACTTGGGTGATACTTATCTCAGCAAATAAGTACAGTTTTATTATATTTTTCACAGATTGTGGTGAAGAGAAAATAGATTATTTGAGGCATCTAAATAATCCACACTGAATTCTAAAATATTCATAGGCTAACTTTGGTTCTGTATGCCACCTAGTATTTTCCCTGCATATTCTCTACTGTTTAGAACTTTGAAAAATTAAATTGTTAAAGCTCCTTAGGCATTAGTTTAAGCCTTCATTCTTCATCCATAGAAAATCATGAATTATTCATTTCTGTTATTTTTAAGCTCCATAAGTTATTGAAAAGCTTACATATTCCTTTGCTTTTGGCTCTTTTGACAGAGAGAATAAAAATCTAAATTCTCTATGATTTAATATTGTTTTATGAGGAAAGTATTAAAAAGTATATGTGCATAAACAGATTTAAAAATAAAATTTGTTGTTGTTTTTTTCCATTCCTAGATATTTTTTTTTCTTTAATTTTTTATTTATTTTTTTGTTACAGATATTTTACCTTTTTTACCCCATTGGCACCCCCCTCCCCATCCCACCCCTGCCACGTCCCTGACTTAGTTGCCCATGTCCATTGGTCATGCATACATGCATATAAGTTCTGTGGTTTATCTCTTCCCACCCCCCCACCCCCTCTTCTGAGGGATGTCAGTCTGTGCCCTACTTCCATGTTTCTGGGTCTATTGTATTCCTCACACTGTTATGTTCATTATATTCCGTATATAAGTGAGATCATGTGGTATTTGTCTTTTTCTGCTTGGCTTATTTCACTTAAGATAATACTTTCCAGGTCCCTCCATGTCGTCTCAAAGGACAAGAGATCT